TATATCAAAAAGATTCTTTTAGGTTTAATTACTGCATTTGGGCATTTTTACTATTTTCTGTTTTATCATTAAGTGTGGGAGAATTTTAAAGTCATATTCTTTAAATTAATCACTGCTTTTACAACCACAGCTCAACTTAAGAGGTGACTCACGTAAGTCATTTTGAGAATTGGATGAGACCTTAAATATCATGTATGTTAATAATAATAATTAAAGTAACAATATATATAGTTTGTGTGTTCTCAGCTTTCCTCCAAGAATATTTATGTTTAGGCAACAGGCTGTCTGCTTGCTTATTTTTTAGTTGGTTTACATGTTTTTCTGCCCCAAGAAGTTTTTTTCTTGTTTTTTTGTACTAATTACTTGTAAATTGGACAGAAAACAAAAGCAGATTGAAATTGAATATACATTTTAGATCTGGGAGATAGACCAGTGTTGATTTGTCAATTACCAGCATTAACTTAATTGATTTGAGTAGCTTGCCAGAGTCACTAGAAAGAATATGAGAAGCAACTGTGGTTAATTGTTGAAATCGTGTGAGCTCTTCCCTTGGAGCCCAGGTCTGGTCTATCATGTTTGTATTACATTTAACTTATGCCTTTAATAAGAACCGTGTTTCAACCTGCTGTTTTTACCAAGTTGTTGGAGAATTCTGAAGAGTCAGTGTTCTACTAGGTATACCCAAGGTTTTTATTTAGAAGGTGGTATCCAGTGATTGGGATTTGCAGAGTGAAGCTATCAACTGCCAGTCATTAATAGGACCTTTGAGTGTTTGATCTGGAAGTTATCTTAGGAGGGTTCATCAGTGGTTTGGTGGGGAAAATTCAGCATATTATATTTTGTTCAGCCCAGGCATATTATAGAAGAATACCCAAAAATTACAGAAAGTTTAGGACAAGCCCTTGGATGCCAAGGACATACTGTGTTCACCACCCAGTCTTACACACCAGTCCTAGCCCTCGAAGAGCTAAGTTCACTCACCTCTGTTTTTGGTTTCATCTCAGTGGAGGATGAAGAGCTCTTTTAGAGTCCAGCCTTTTCTGTTACGTATGGAGAAGTGAGTCCCAGAGAGGTTAAGGATCCTGCCCATGTTGCACAGGAAGTTACACTGCGTAATGGGAACTGCGATCCAAGTTCCTCATGCTGCTGTTTGACAGGTGTTTCTGACAGGTTAAGTGCCATATTTTACATATACCCGAATTGTGTTGCATATGTGAGTTTTCAGTGGATTAGAAACTACCTCAGCATTGGCTTATTGCTTATTTGAAAATACAATCCGTGAAAAACCAACCTAGTCATCATTTTTAAAGCTGAGCACTAAGAAGCTAGCTGTGTCTTATGCAAGGCTGATTGACCACTTGTACACACAGGAGCCCAGCTTAAGTGCTGGGGGCGTGTAGAGCAACGGTGGAGGGTAGTAGGTAATTTTGTGATTCCAGCCCAGGGCCACAGCATTGACACAGGAGGGTGTCCTCTGGAGAAGATTAGCACCAAGGGCAACATTATATACGTAATTAGGCTCTCCTTTGCTGGCCACTCTCAAGTCCCCTGACAACACTCACACAGAGTGAAGTGCAAGCGGTGCCCCTTAACACTTGCTGAATTCACCTCATTCATAAAGTACGGGGTAGTGCTTGTGTGTGTTTATTATGTAGATGAACTCATACATGCTGAATTTTCACATTGGTAATCTGTTGTATGGCAGGGAAGTAAGGTCATGGAAAATAGAGCCAAGATAGCCAGGTTCTTCTGTTAACATAGAACTCACCTACAAAACGGCAGTTTGCTGTGATACTTTGATTTAAGTGCTTGCTGGCATTACCTCATTGGTTTTAACCCATGTATCAGTCATTATTCAGAAGATGAAATGTTATTACAGAATGTATGTCCTGAGAAACGTTGATCAACATCTGGGACTCTACAGAACTTTCAGTCCCATTAATACCAAGATAGAATGTTTTCATATGGCTTGGCCCTGGAATTAACTTGACACTGGAACATCATAGATAATTTAGGGTGAAAATATCTGGTGCCTTGATCACATAAATGAATAATAATCTTGAGGTTTTAGAATAAGGCCTAGAAATTTGTCATTTTTGAATTCATGTGGCTGAATCTTTGCTCACACACTACTTACCAAATGTGGAATGTGCAAATGTGTTGGTGCTGACAGGATGCAATAGTATTGTGAAGTTTCAGCACCGTGTGATGGATGCCAAGGATAATGGTGAAGAGGGGAGAACCCTTGTGAAAGACTACTTTGGCCTTTGACTCAATTGCTTGGTTTTTATAAAAGAGGTTCCCATAATGTTGCACATGACTTTTTCTTCTTATGTGGAAATTTGCTTAAAATTGTTTTACAGATTCAAATTGGTGGATCTGACTCTTACTAAAGAACAAAGGCGAGGGAACTAATATGTATTATGCCCTTGAGTCCTACCTACTCAGCATGAAACATCCACAGCCTTACTTAGTCCTCCTAATAGCTCAAAGATGATGTACCTTTTTTTTTTTTTTTTTTTTTTAAGTTGGAGTCTTACTCCGTTGCCCAGGCTGGAGTGCAGCGGGGCATGCTCACGGCCACGCCAGCATCAGCCTGCTAGGCTCCAGCGATCCTTCTGCCTCAGCCTTCCAAGTAGCCGAATTACAAGCGCGCGCTACCACATCCGGCTAATTTTTTATTTCTTGTAGAGACAAGGTTTCACCAAGTTGCCCTGCCTGGTCACTTATCCGCGGACTCAGGCAATGTACTTGCCTCGGCCTCCCAAAGTGCTGGGATTACAGGCTGAGCCACCGAGCCTGGCCTCTTTTTAAAAATCATCATCTTACAAGCACACCAACTTTGGAGCTTAGACTTTATGGAGTGGCTCTTTCCCCAGACCATTCCTGCAGCCTGCCTTTGCTGTCTGCGGTGCTGTGGTGTGTGTCTTCCCAGCAGACTGTGAGCTCCTTGAGGGCTGGATCATGCCTGCGTTGCTCATTGCTGTGAGCTTGTCCCAGGCTCTCTTGCATCAGCTCAGGAGTGTTGTGGTCTCCTGCACACATCACCTTGGAGTGGACCTGTAGGCTAAGTGGATCCATAGTGAAAACACTGATGTGAGCCACAAGCCCTTGGCTGACCCCCACTCACCTCTTTCTGAAAACAAGCATGCTAGTGTATAGAGCTCACTAGGCAGAGCTTACACTGATAAGTCTGATAGGATGAGTCGATGATGCCATGGGTTGAGTCCTCCCAATTTACTTGCTTTTTAATTTATTATTTATTTATTCATTCCTATTTTTATTTTATTTAATTTTTGAACGAGAGTCTCACTTTGTTGCCCAAGCTGAAGTGCAGTGGCCCAATCATGACTCACTGCAACCTCAACCTCCTGGGCTCAGGCAAACCTTCCACCTCAGCCTCCTGAGTAGCTGGGATTTGTAGGTGCATGCTACCAGACCTGGCTAATTTTTTTTTTATTTTTGTTGTTGTTGAGATGAGGTCTTGTGATGCTGCTCAGGTTGGTTTCCAACTTCTGGCCTCAAGTGATCCTCCTGCCTCAGTCTCCCAAAGTACTAGGATTGCAGGTGTGAGCCACTGTGCCTGGCCTATTTTAATTTTTTAGAGATGAGATCCTCTGTTGCCCAATGTAGACTTGAACTCCTGGGCTCAAGCAGTCCTCCCACCTCAGTGTCCTGAGTAGTTGGGACTACAGGCACGATACCACACCCAGCCTCCCAGTTTTTATAATAAAACATTTCAAAACCAACCAAAAAACAGAAAGATCAGAATGGTAAACACTACCACCTACAACAGGTGTTTGTCACATTTGCTTTCACCTCCTCTCCCACTGTCCCTACCTCCCTCTTTCACGTAATTACATATTTTAAAATGTTTTAAAGGGAAGGAATGTCTACACTGCACCACTCTGAAAGTAGCTCGGGCTTAACACTCACAGCAAGGCCGAGCAGACCAAATTCTGCACATTGCTATCGACACAAAAAACATTCCTGCTATTAAAAAAATCTATATTCTAGCAGGGCTCGGTGGCTCAGCCTGTAATCCCGCGCCTTTGGGAGGCTGAGGTGAGTGGATTGCCTGAGCCCACAGGTTCAAGACCCGCCTGGGCAGCAAGACCTCATCTCTATAATAAATCAAAAAATCAGCCGGGCGTGGTAGTACATGCTGTGATTCCGGCTACTTGGAAGGCTGAGGCGGAAGGATTGCTGGAGCCCAGCAGGTCGAGGCTGCGGTGGCCGGGAGCGGCCACTGCACTCCAGTCTGGGGGACAGAGTGAGCCTCCGACTCAAAAAATAAATAAATAAAATAAAATAAAATGTTTTGGCCAAACTTAAAGATTCAGAGTAAATTTTTACACTCTATACCTAGAGCCACATAATCTGAGCATCCAAATTCTGATTGCTGTTTTCTATGAGGCCTTTTGAAAGTAAATTGCAGATGCTGTGAGGTGTAACCGTTTGTGGAAATCAAAGTTCATATGGAGGATTTGCCTGTGAATGCTTGGTAATTATAGATAATTTTTGCTGCTGCATCACTTTTCAAATCCTCCTTCTCAGCTAATAAACAGTGCCATTTCACTTGCCAATATCTGAAGACACAGAACTTCTTCACCGTTTTGTATTATGCCTTATCACATCCACAATGGGGGTGTGCTGATGGCATTATGAGAACCCTTCTGTATTGAAGGCTCACTGTTGATATGATGTGAAGGGAATTTGGTATTGAAGATGAAATCTGAATAGTGTAATTTGAGGCAGAGCAGCGCACCTATTAAGCTGTAGAGCTAGGCAGTAACTTGGTCTGTGGAAGGAGGGTTTGCAGCAGGGGAATACTGCGACTCTTGCTAAACTGAATTTGAATTTTCAAATATCTGAACTAAACAAATGTGTGACTGTAGTTTTATTCATGTATGTCTGTGATATTGTTACACAACAGTCAATTTTAATCAAAACATAAATATTCAAGTCATGATTTCTCCTTTTCAATTTTTCTCATCCAGAAGGAGCTGGCCAGCAGCCCTGACTGTCCTCAGATGTGTGCCTATAAGCTGGTGACCATCAAATTCAAGTGGTGGGGACTGCAAAGCAAAGTAGAAAACTTCATTCAGAAGGTAAAATCTGTTCAGAAGGTGGGGACTTATATTTAGAGTAAAATTTGAGCTAACTATTAATGGGATGTTTTCTTTGTTCAGTCACCTTTTTTCCTCCTTTATGAGATGACAATTATTGTCCCTCCTTAAGTCATTTTTACCCTTCTTTTAATTTCTGGAAATAGCAAAGACAGATGTCAGCAGCAGCTTTAGGGGACTTTCTAGGGAGAAGAGCACAGCAGTTGTGTTGTTCAAAGTACTTTCCATGTGGCTTGCCCTGTGCTTCAGTAGAGGGCCCTCTCCCCATACAGCATGGCCCCAGGGAGACCTGGCATCTTGGCCTGGCTGGAGGGAGAGGCCAGGCCCAGCCCGCTGAGGGCCTTCTCTCCCCAGCTCAGTTGGACACCTCCCCTCTTCCATGTCTGGTGGTTTACATGCCTTGTGCTTTCATGGGGGTGGCTTCTTTAGATGTCCTCACTGAGAGTAGGTGCGCTCTAAAGTGGCATGATCTGGGGATTCAGATTCTAATTGCTTCTTAATGTCTTCTGTAAAAGTGAAGTGAAAGTGACATGGACAATTCGAGCTGGGAAAAGGGGAGAGTTGCAGTTGTATATACACACGTGGTTGTTAATATACAAGGCGTGAGGGCAGCTTCCTTGCTATTTATCTTTCCTGTAGTGTGAATACTCCCATTTCATCGTAAAGAAGCCCCCATTATATCTCAGATTCCCACAGCAAGTTGTGTCTGTTTCACCATAACCTTTCCACTTTTAAACTGTAGCTGCTGTAACATTTAAAAGAAAAGAATCTCCAAGTGCTGGAAACTTTGATTATTCATGGGCCTGCTTGCAGTTGGCCCACAGTAGGCATTCTGTAAATGTTGGCTTTCTTCCCTCCTCTTGGATCATAATAATAGATTAAGAATCCTGTTCTGATAAATAGAAGTCACGTGTAATTGATGAAGTCCCTTCTGTTCGTGGAAAGAAATTTAAAAGTTGAAGATTTTCCAGAAGTACTTACTGTTCCATGTACTTTTCACCTTTTCTCTCTTTTTGGGAAAGTTGAGTAAAACTTAAATAATTCAGCAGTTAAAACCACTAATTTTTAGATTTGGAGATATATATATATATAAAATTGAGAACCATTACACACTCTTAATTTTTCTATGTCACATGTTATTGCCACTATACCCCCCCCCATACACACACACACACACACACACACACACACACAGAGGGAGAAAGATATCCAGATATATATATGTAGTGGCAATAACATGTAGCATAGAAAAATTAGTGGAGAGTGTATAATGATTCTTAATGAAACATTGTTATTCCAAAGAACCTAGGTATTCTGGATCAGATCATACACACCTCTTTCTATCTTTCTCTCCCTCCCTTCTTCCTTTCCTCCTTTCCTTCCTTCCTTCCTTTCTTTCATGTTCTGCTAGATTTTGTCACTTTTGCCTGGAGAGGTTATTTTCTAATGTACTGGAAAATTTTTTTGGCTTTTCTTTTGGTTTTTTTTTGCTGTACAAAATGATAGTAGGATGAGGTTAAGATTTCCACTAATCGCCGGGCTCGGTGGCTCAGCCTGTAATCCCACGCCTTTGGGAGGCTTAGGTGAGTGGATTGCCGAGCCCGCGGGTTCGAGACCCGCCCGGGCAGCGAGACCTCATCTATACAAATAAATCAAAAAATCAACCGGGCGTGGTAGTGCATGCCTGTGATTCCGGCTACTTGGAAGGCTGAGGGGGAAGGATCGCCGGAGCCAGCAGGTCGAGGCTGCGGTGGCCGGGAGCGGCCACTGCACTCCAGTCTGGGTGACAGTGAGACTCCAACTCAAAAAACAAACAAACAAGATTTCCACTAATCTATGTAGACTTTTTAAATCAAGTATATGTAAATTTCATGGATTAATCAGTACATGTAAACTTAATGTGTCGTTGATCTTAGGTTTTTGCTGTCTTATACTACTTTTTTTCTTTGTTTTCAAAGCAAGAGAAAAGGATATTTACAAACTTTCATCGCCAGCTTTTTTGTTGGATTGACAAATGGATCGATCTGACAATGGAAGATATTAGGAGAATGGAAGATGAGACTCAAAAAGAACTAGAAACGGTAAGACTTGCTGTTTTGTGGCGATTCTCTAATTTTTCCTTTTCTAAAACTGTGTACATGTTTAGCAAGTGTAGAGTTAGAATAAGGAAGGGCATTATTAAAAACCATTCCTTATTCTGTTTATTCAGTTTTCTAGACTCTGACATTTCTGCACATGTTCTGATTTCTCTTTTGTTGTGCATCTTCATGAAGGTAGACTAGAGCTTTCTTGATCCAGAATTTGTAACCTGTAAAATGCCCAGTAGTTTTATATTCAGTTCTCTTTGTTGGTCCATGGTTCATAGTTTTTTTAAGACACTCACTTTGTCAGACCATGTTGCCTTTGGCCTTATTTGTATCACAGCAATTTACACAGTAAATCCTAGTTCCCTCTTCTCTAGGAAAGGTAAGGCTAGTAGAATTGTAACTGAACCTAGAAATGCCTTCTCCCTTCAATCAACTAGCAGGAAGTCTTTATTTCTTCATAAGCTTTAGGCAGATTCCACTTATCCTTGGGCAGGAAGTGAGCCATGTTTCAGCGTTAAAACTTCTCCCCACCACTCCACCTCCCACCGACCTAGTTTGTATCACAGCAAGTTACAGATGTCAGCACAGTAAATCCTAGTTCCCTCTTCTCTAGGAAAGGTAAGGCTAGTAGAATTGTTACTGAACCTAGAAATGCCTTCTCCCTTCAACCAACTAGCAGAAAGTCTTTATTTCTTCATAAGCTTTAGGCAGATTCCACTTATCCTTGGGCAGGAAGTGAGCCATGTTTCAGCGTTAAAACTTCTCCTCACCACTCCACCGCCCACCTCCCCACTTCTCCCTGCAGGGCCAAATAGGTCCTGCAGCCAGTGGGTGTCCCCTCTCTCCTAGGGGCATATTTTTCCCTGGCTTCCTCTTGCATGGATCTGGTTTTGCTTTTGCCCTGGGCCATGTTGTCTTCAGTTGGCAGTAAGGCCCCACAGGGGGAACGAACCCAAGGAATGTCCAGAGCCTGCTAGTGGTTTCCATGTGGTCATCTCGAGTCCTGCCAGAAGGCCTGGTTTTGGAAGCCCTTGCAGGTGTGAGTGTTTGACAAATGCTTATGTGCGAGGGAAGAATTCCATTTAATCACAGGAGAATGGCGGCAAATCAGGTTCTTTGGCACAGAAGGAAATCTATGTCTCTGGCACACAGCATCGTGAGGAATCTGTTTAAAATTGCTTACTTTTGGTGATTGCGGCAGAGCTGCTTCTAATTAGCTTTTTATACAAACCTCCTGAGAGGACTAGGACATATTTTCTTTATAAGGCAATAAAATATTTTAGCCTTATCTTGGTACATAAAGTAAACTATGGGCAGTCTCCAACTTATGAATGGATTTTATTCCAAAACTTTTTAAGTTAATTGTTTGAAATTTGGAACATATTTTCCATAGAGACAACATTATAAATTGGAGTTTGATTTCTAGACTAGCCAGTAGAAGCCTCTTTGGCCCCAATTTCTCATATTACTAGTAGGACTTACGTTCTGGAGTTTAGGAATAGGGTGAAACAGGTGATAGAGTGGCAAGGCTGGAAGACACTCCCTCACTCCTTTCTGTTCAGACTGGCCATAGGCAAAATATTTACAGGCAGGTGGGAGTCATGAGTACTTTCTGCCTCTTTCCATGTCTCTTTCCCACTTCTGTGTTTCCCTCCTCGAGAGTCAGATGCCCTTTTCAGACTAAACACACCCTCTGCTCCCACCCCCCACAGTTCTAGTCCTGTTTGCCCTGCCTTACCTGTTTGACTCCTTCCAAGTGCTTCAGGCTCCAGAGGTGCCTACCAGCTCTGTCTTCTGCCCTCCAGCAACTGGTATCCACTGAACATTAAAGGAAGCCATGTCATGACACTCGCTCACGCTGAGCTCGTGGTGCAGTGCCGGCATCTCCACCAAGGATTTCCAGCACCGAGGAAACAGAAAATGGGTTTATTCTTATGTGTTCAAACCGTCAGGAAAGAGCCTTCTCCTAGTGTAATTTGTGTGCTCAAGAGCAGTGTGCACACAAGAAGGAGCAGTTACCATTGACCAGGTGATCACTACAGCCTCCTTATTTTGGGTTCTGAGCCCTGCCTGTGTTGGGACCCTGGGACCCTTGACAGAACTTGTGTCACCATTTCTCAGCATCATGGTACCTGAACACAGAGTAGTTCTGGTGTCAACACAGTGAGACTCTTGTTCCCACCTGTGGCAGTGAGCAGCGGGCTTAGCTGCTTCTCTGGGCAAGTCAGTTAGCTGTGAGCTGGAAGTTGCACTGGGGAAGAAGGTGTAAGATAGCCAAGTAATTATTACACAGAAGCCCAGTTTTTTCGATAATATCGTCATCTTGTATCCACATGGCTCAACTGACATTCCCTCATGAAGTCAGTAGAAATTTGTCATTGGTTCAGGGAAGGGATATGTAGCAGTTTCTTTGTTAAATATTTCACAAACATTTTAAGACAGATTTCAGCACGAAGTGCTGATCATCTTAACGTTAAATCCCATTTAAGTTTTTTTGCTGTAGGTCATTGAGGAGCTCTTTATTCCATATCGCAGTGCTGCTGCTTTGGGTCCTAACAGTTGGTTTGTGAACATCTTCAGAATCCAGGCAGCCTCATGCCTGCAGGCCAAGAACGCCTACCCAGAAAGCACCTACCTCCTGGCCTTCTGAAAAGGCTTAACATTTTAAAGTCCTTTTCACCACTCAGGAATTTCACCTTTTCTTGAGGTCCTGTTCCCCTGACACCTAGTGATAGAACTTGATACATTGTGATGCTCTGAATTCTCAGATATCTAAGACGTGGATTTCTTTCAAATGGGTTTTGGACCTGGAGAGCAGGACTAGCATTTAGAGGTTAGGCACAAGAGGAATGCCCCTGTCTGTAATCCTGCAGAGGACTGCCGGGTTAGGCTCGGCGGCAAAATGGGTACTTGGGGCAAACATTATGCCTGTTTGTTCTTAACTGGCACTTCTAGGAGTAGAGGGCAAGGGTATGTGTTGAGTTTTAGACAGGTATTTATCACATTTGTTTGTGTTCTGTTCCTTTGTTTCTTGATTTTTCTGAGGTTTTCTACTGGTCTGTAGGCTATATTTATTGAATACCTATCCTTTCTGATGCATCCTGGCGTCCTTCATTGTTGGCCATACACTTCTGTGCTTGCTTCGTCTTTCACTCTCTCTTTCTCTTCAGTAAACTTCCTTTAAACAACTCCTCTGAGAGACCCTGGTCTCAGAAGCAGTAGAGGTGGCCACACCCCTGTGGCTTCCGGCCTGGCCTGGAGACTGTCAAAATATGGACCATTGGGCCTTTTCGTACATTATATTGACAAACCGTCTATTTAGCCATTGGCCACTTTTTATAATTCTGCAATATCAGTCTGCAGGCTTTTGTTTTTTACACTCAAGAGTACATTATACATTTTTCGTGCTGTGTAAGAAAAGCCTTTTGTAAGATTGTCTTTAAACCAAGATTACTAGAGGGGTCTCAGAACTTCATTCTTAATGTATGGTTATAAGCAGGTAGCCATCACTTCATAATCTTTTTGACATCTTTTTTCTCCCCTTGCTTACTAACCCCTATTCAGAGTCTGATTTCAGCAGCTCACAATTTTATTTTACGTTTAGATGCGTAAGAAGGGTTCCGTTCGAGGCACGTCGGCTGCTGATGTCTAGATGAATCCCCTGTAGGGTCAGAGACAATATCAAACTGTGTAAGTGAAGACCTGGGTAAAGAGATGCTGAAAAACCTTTACCTTTTGGTGATGGGTAATATGCTGAGCAGAGGCTCTAACCAAGTGTTAAATGCAGTTTTATTTTTAGAATTTAAAAGATAAATATTTGGGGAATTGACAGTGAACGCTTGAATTATTACTCTATCAAGCATTTCATCTGTGGACCGGGTTGAATTTAGTAATCTCAGGCTAGCTCTTAGCATTACAGGTTAGACCCCAGCTGTCCTGTATACTTCAGTCATCATGCAGCATTGTCCTAGAAACCGGTTGGTTTTTCTATAGCCAGTTGATTGACCTCTGCTTCTCAGTATAACCACTTGTAGGGAAATATGTAAAAGCACTTAAGGCAAGCAGAGATCTTTCATCGCATACTGTAAGAGCCAACCTCAATAATTCATTCAGTTGAAATTTTTTTCTGTACACCAGAAAGTCTCCCTTCTTGTTTAATTTTCAGATATTTTTACAGTTAGTTTTATTCCATGCAGATGCACTTTAGTTTTAATTTACAGTATAAAAATTTCTATGTATTTCTCCAACAAAAATGCACATACCCAGGTAACAGATTTTCCCAAAGGGGGAAAAAAAGAACATCAAAATCTACCCCACATGATGAAACTAGCGTGAGTAAACAAAAATGGACGGTATACTGTCTTCATTTGTCAGTGCTGAACTACGATATTTACTGAGAGAAAGAACAAGCTGTAACACTGGCGGCCCCACCCCCACCCCCCACCTCCCGCCGACTGTGGATCTTTGCTGGCCCCTTAGATGAGCTACCTGCTCTTTAATTATTGAACTTGAGGATGAATGAAGTGTTCAGTCAGGAAAAAAGTAGTTTTAGCAAATAAGAATGAAGTGACTCTTCCAAGATTCCCCAAAGCTCTTTGTTTAAATTCAATGTTTTTGAAAAAATTTTTTTAGTTATTGTAACTTTTGTTAAGTTCTCCTACGTTTCTGTGATTTATTTCTGCTTCTTATTTATTTTTCTCACTGATAAGCCAAAGCATTACGCCATTAATAAGACTAAAATCTTTATGTAAACAGTAAAATGTTTAAAGATAGAGCAGTTGGGGTACATTTTCTGCCAAAAGTTTTGCTACATTGAGGTTTTTTGCTTGTTTTGAGAATATGTGTGATAAGCTGCTGACATTTTCTGTGTCTTTCTGTACTTTAACACGTTTTGCACTGTCTTTCACGTTTCTTACAGTTACGTAATCAAGGTCAAGTGAGGGGAACAAGTGCAGCCAGTGATGAGTGAAGAAGAATCTGACCAGTATCCACAGTGTTGATGTTTCCTAGACTGTGCTTGTGATAATGTGCGCACATGCACAGCTTCCCAGCCACGTGTGTATATGTGTGTGTGTGTGTCTGTAGCTGTATATAAAACGCATGTAGAGCTGCAGACCTCGATACACGCACTGGTGTATATATGTACATACAAACATACTGAAGGGATTAGTACAATTTCTCCAAAGTACTGTACCTATCTTCAAGAATGCAAAAGAAAATATTTTCAGTATATATACCTGGAACAGATTTTAATAATTATCAGAGAAATATCATTAATGGACAAATTGACTGCAATGTAATACTAGCTGGTATGTTTCATAAATGTCAAGTTGTGGACCAATATATATAGCCTTTTTGGTGATTGTTCTTTTAAATCAGTCTCTTACAAATTTTTATTTTAATCCCATCAGCAGCAGACTCCCACAGAAAAATTTCTTCAAAACTTTTTAGTATTCCAGTGAACCTGGAATGTAAACTTTGAATGTATTTATAACTATTTCTTTCTGAATAGTCATTATCTTGTAGCCAAATTTGACAAAAAGTAAGGATTAAAGTTACAGACCAGTTTTTACTTGTTTGCCCTGAGGGAAAATCCTTTTAAAAAATTTTTTGATTTTTATTGGATTTTTATATTTTAAATTTCAGATATTTTTCTACATCAAACCTAGCAAAAATTGAGATAATGGTTTGTGTTTTGTAATAAACACCAGACAATTTTCAGGCTCCTGGTAGGCAAACAAATAAACTGATGAAGAAATTAGTCTTTATAGTGCTGTAGCCTGTGCAAAAAATTGAAAGTGTGGCACATCCACGGAGTCTTGTTTCGAGAATGACTTTTCTGGAGTTACAGCTTGGAAACTATGCAAGTGGTCCAGATTTCTCACAGCTTACACGATACAATATAGATAGTGATAGTGTTTTGCTCTTTTTGTGTTGAAATATGCTTCAAGTGGGAGATGCTGACTTTGAGATAGGAATTTAAGATGCAGCATGAGTCTTGCCTGCCCGTGGTTAGAAGGCCCTGCCTAGGGACTGGTGGACCTTCAACTCTGGGATGTGCTCTCAAGTAGGAATATATCCTGAATGGGCATCGTGAGAAAGGTGGTAAGAAGTTACTGACACTTTTTTTTTTAAAGGAAGGAACAATATCATCAGCTTTCTCTGTCCTAATCCAGTTTTTTTCTTGTCAGCCCTGGAAGCTCGAATGGAATGATATTATTGAAGCCTTCAGGTCACAAACTGTCTTTTTTAACCTCCCGTTCCTCCTAAAATGCTCCAGCCCCTGCAGTCAAATCACGTTAGTAATCTGATTTCCTGACAGTCCTGCCCTCCCTGCTCCTTGTTTTCTCACACGTCCTGTGTCCTCACTGGAGCGATTGCAGTGAATCAGACAGGGAAGGATGTTGAGGATCACCACTGCATTGGGAGACCCTGTCGTCCTCAGCAACAAACCCCACATTTCATATATCCTTTGTGTACTCAGGATAAAGACTGATGTTTACTCTCTGGGCGCTGTTGTAAGATAAGTTTTGTCAGAGCATAATCATTGTCTGCAAAGTGTTTGGTGCGAGGAAGATCATTGCTAATTTTGTGAAATGAAGAGTCTAGCCCTCTCCTTTTAATGAATTTAACTCTCGCTGGCATCTGTAGCATCATTGGGAGCTTGGGTGCACATGGAAATGAGAGCCCGGCGCGGGGATCTTAATGTTTTTCTAACAACTGTGGAGATTTGAGGGAATGTGTGGTGAATGTAAAATACCTAGTTTACTTGGCAGTCTCTTGTGTAAATTACAGTAAAACAAAGTAAATGAAATTTAAATAAAAAATAAATTTGAGCCGGGCTCGGTGGCTCAGCCTGTAATCCCGCGCCTTTGGGAGGCTGAGGTGAACGAATTGCCTGAGCCTGCAGGTTCGAGACCTGCCTGGGCAACTTGGCGAGACCTCATCTCTACAATAAATCAAAAAAATCAGCTGGGCATGGTAGCGCATGCCTGTAATTCCGGCTACTCGGAAGGCTGAGGCGGCAGGATCACTGGAGCCCAGCAGGTCGAGGCTGTGGTGGCCGGGAGCGGCCACTGCACTCCAGTCTGGGCGACAGAGTGAGACTCCAACTCTAAAAAATAAAATAAATTTGATCACAAAATGCCACTTGCGTGCTTGAGTGGTGGTTTCCCTGATGCCACGTCTGGTTCGGAATACCTTGGCCCACTTCTCTTCCAGTTTTTCTAGAGTTCTCTAATTTGCAGTGCCACTGTTCTGGGAAAAATAAAAAAGTTTTTTGGTTTTTATTGCAAACTCTTATTCTTGAAATGTGCCTATGCCACACTAAGTTATGTTTAGTTTCTTAAATAATTTTCTGTCTGTAAGAGCCAAGCAGTAAACTAAAGGATTACATATTATTAATCTCAAAGGTTTTTAACAGTTATTTTCAAAGGGGAAAAGTATGGAAAGACTCAGTAAGGATTTGCCATTAGGTCCTGGCTATTTGAAGACAATGACTTTTTGGACTAAGGCTGCATTTTACCTCTCTTCTTTTAGGACTGTCATTTCTAGTCTGCCCTCGTATGTGTGACAACCATGGTGGTTCCAGCTCACCTTATACTGCTGTTTCATGTTAGGAGAGGCAGCCAGCTATAGGAACGGGGTTCTTTCCTTTTGAGTTGGGATCTTACTCTGTCGTCCAGGCTGGAGTGCAGGGACGTCATCACAGCTCACCACAGCCTCAATCTCTTGGACTCATGTAGTTCTCCCACTCCAGCCTCCTGAGTAGCTGGAACAACAGGTGCTCACCATCACACCTGGCTGATTTTCTTTGTAGAGACAAGGTCTCGCTGTGTTGCCCAGGCTGGTCTTGAACTCCTGGCCTGAAGCAGTCTTCCTGCCTTGGCCTCCTAAAGTGCTGGGATTGCAGGTATGAACCACTGTGCCCAGTGATGGATTTCATATATAAGATTATATGTTGGCATTTGTTCTCAGGTAAGTGTCTTAGTGTTCTTTTATGGCAGTAGTCATTCATACATTCGACGATCTGAGTGTCGATTGTCAGCACTCGGGTTCCTCGGGAGCTGCCAAGGTGGAAACTCCCATTGCAGTGTGGGAGACATGTGAACAGGTAATTGACAAGTCGGTGTGCTGGCCGTTAAGAGTAGAGGGTGGACTGAGAGATGCCTCAGATAACGTTCCCATTGTATAGGTGAGAAAGCAAAAGTTGCTAAAGGCAGCTGGTATCTGAGGAACCAGGATGCCAGCTCTTGGGTCATTGCCGGGTCAGGCAAACCCAGGGCCCTCCTGGTCCTGGCTGAGTCCGGGACTCCTTGTCTGCTGGTGAAGGATATGGTGCCCAGCTGAAAGGTGGCTACCGTCAGTTGTGTTCTCTGGCATATAGCAGGCCCTCTCCATTGTGATCTTTTCTCCTCCTGTTCTGTTCATTGGCCAAACTGCCTCCTGGTTGTTACAAAATCACTTGCCTCTCCTGTCCTTGTGGACCTAACAACTGGCTTTTAAGTTTGCCTTTCTGTCACCTCTTCACCTTACTAAATTGAAAAGTTCCACAGGCCAACCTCCTTTACAAATCTCGTCTCTGAGGAAGTAAGAGACATCTGTTAACATTTGTTTTGCACATCTCTTCTTAGCAGTTCAGTTGGCAAGGGCATGGTGGCATTCCGTGTTCTTCACTTGGAAGGAGGATGTTCTGACTTTGTTCTTAGGTCCTCAGATGTGATAAGAGAGCCACACAGTGTTCTGAAGTGGCATTCACTACATCCCAAATGGATGTTTTTTCCAGTTACACTCACTGCCAGTTTTGGAGTTTGGGATTTTGCATGACCAGGAGGGAGGGAAAGTGCTGGAAAACAGGTTAAAGATGGTCCTGCTGAGCTTGGAGCACCTACTGCAGCCAGGAGTGCCTCCCCAGCCCTGTTGGGGTCCCTAGGAGTAAAGTTTTCGATTTGGGAGATGGTAAGCAGCGGCAGATCCCCTAAAAAACCAGTTTCTCAACCAGGTTGCATTGGGAAAAGTAGAAATGGTAGGTATTCTACAGCTGCTCACAAAAGATACAAGGCCTAGCTAAGTATTTCATGCAGGGCTTGCCAGTTTGAGACACCTGACACTTTGATGTCCGTCCCTTCCATCTGAAAGTGCCCAAGTGCAAGGTGTCTTAGTGTTTGAAAAGGAATGTAGAACTGATGTTTGCCCCCCATTCCTTCAAGATCACTGACTCCAGAGGGGTTGTAATCTCTCAGGAGCAACTACTGCTTCATAATTTTTTTCTTTTTCTTTTTGTTTTTTTGTTTTTTGTTTTTTTTTTAATTGGACTCTCACTCTGTTGCCCAGGCTGGAGTGCAGTGACAAACTCACAGCCACCACAGCCTTGACCTGCTGGGCTCCAGCGATCCTTCCACCTCAGCCTTCTGAGTAACCGGAACTACAGGCGTGCGGTACCACGCCTGGCTAATTTTTGATTTATTGTAGAGACGAGGTCTTGCCAAGTTGCCTGGGCTGGTCTCGAACCTGCAGGCTTAGGCAATCCAGTTGCTGGGATTACAGGCTGAGCCACTGAGCCTGGCCACTTCATGATTTCTTTACACATTTGTATTTTTCTCTCTAATTGAGAGAAACCATGAATTAAAGCTTGTCCCGGTATGAAAAAAGAATGTTTCCTCCATTTCAGGCTCTTTTCAGTATCCCCACCCAGAATGTGTCTTCAGGATTCCTATCTCTTGAATGTTCTGTTGTACTAGACTGGCTTGAAAAACATCGTATGTAAACCAGTGTTCTCTGGTTACACGTTAGAATCGTGGGGAGCCATTAAAACTTGATCACCTACCAGTTGTCTTTCTGTGACTTGAGTTTGGTGTGTCCTCTTTTAAATAAGGGAAGGGGTGAAAATTTAAGAATTCTCATTCTGTCTTCCTGGAAAATCATCAGGATGACTGCCTTCTCTCCAGGGGATCAAATTCCTACCCATTCTTCAAAGCCCTGGAGCCAAGTGTCACTTCTTCCAGGAAGCCTTCCTAACTGACTTTGAAATTGCCCCTTTTTACCCACAATAGATATTTACCTGCCTTATGCCAAGCAAGGCCCCTTTTGAGTCCTGGGGTTTGAGCGGAGGGGAGTCAACCAAAAAGTCAGATCTCATTTCTGCCCTGAGAATTAAATCTGGCGACCAGCTGCAGCAGCCAGCACCATATAACGTCACCATGGCCAGCGGTACAGCCTCCAAAGAGAGAATAGAGGACAGAGGAGGGAGCTCCAAGTCTGTGTGTTCCTCCTCCTCCTCTCCAGGTTTCTGAGTCTCCCAAAGGAGCCTAAAACAAAACTCTCAGTCCTTCCATCTTCCTCCAAATGTCCTGTCTGTGCTTTCTGTCAAAAAGTGCCCCAAGTCTGAAGCCCACCCCTCTTGTGGACCCTGGTTCAATCCATGTTCTTGTCCGGGGTAGGGGGTTGCACACTTCCTGTAAAAGGCTGAACTGTAAATACTTGAGGCTTTGTGGGGCCCTGTGTTCTATTATAGCTGCTCAACTGCGCCCTCGTAGGGCAAAAGCAGCCGCGGATAATACACGAATGAATAGACTCTGTTCCATTAAAACTTTATTTACACAAACAGAAGACTGGATTTCACCAGTGAGGCCATACCTCATTTGCCAAGCCTTGGTGTAGAGCACTGTGGACAGCCTTAATCAGACTCTGCCAGAGTTAAGTTTCCAGCACATTTCTGATGGTGCTATGCCCCTGCTTGAACACCTGCACAGTTCCCTGAGGCCCAAAAGACCAGGGCAGCCAAAACCAACATCCAGTGAGAGCCTCCTGCCGTTAGTAAGGTGGAGCCAGTGATGCGCGCCAGCCTCACTGCCTGCTGCCCAGCCACAGGTGAAAGGAAACAGGCTGATTTCCCGCTGCCCTTAACTTCCATATTAACCACAGTGGTGGCGCTCAGCATCTGATTCCCAGCCAAATGGGAAGTTGAAGGGTAGAGCTACAACATGTCAAAAGCCACGATGAATGAAATGGAATGATGATAATTCCGGTGAGTTAAACTTTTCTCAGTTGGCATGTTTTGTTTCTCTGTCTTCTCCAGAAAATGCCATCTGTGGCCATGACACTAAATGCTGTACTCATAGGAAGGCTCATAGATACTCTGTACCCTTTCCACAATTGGAGTTTGACTCTGGATACCAACCAAGGCTAGCATGTTCACCAGGGTTTGGTGTCAAGCTGCTGACGGGGTGCATGAAGGCCAGGCCTTTGCCTAGAAAATTGGTCTGGAGTTTCCTGAATTCCTGACACTGGACCTTGGGCTGAATTGTACACGCCTTGGATTTCAGCTTGGAAGCAGTCAAGCACCATGCCATGACATTATTCCACCTTGTCCACCCCTTACATATTCTGACACCACCTGTGAATCAGCCGATAACAGAATTGCTTTGCTCTCCGGACAGGTTGGTGAAGTGGAACGGAGGAGTGGCTTATGGCGTTTATTAATGTACGTACTAAACAAAAGCTTCCCCTCCGGGCATCCCGTCCACGGGGCTCCCTGCAGCCGGAATACTGATGGCAAGCTCTCTCAGCACCACCTCCCCTTTCCCATGGCCTAGGAGGCCCCAAGACAGCGTGTCAGTCTCCTGAGAGACACTGTGAGCTTTTCCCGTCCACGGTCACCTGTGGCTCCCTCTGCCACAGCGTCATTCCGAGAGAGGGGTCTCGCAGGGAAAGCTGGAGGGAAACAGATCAGGCCCAGGACAGCCATGCACAGACATCACCCGGGCCTCATTCCTTCAAACTGGGGGTCGGCAAGCTTTCTGCAGAGGGCTCGATAGGACATATTTTTGTCTTTGTGGGCCA